GGGGGGGTGCAGGAGTCAGCTGATCAATGACTCTCATCATTGATATTTCTATCTCTCTCTCCCCCTTCCTCTCTCTGCAATCAATAAAAAATATTTTAAAAAATAAAATAAATATAGGAACTATAATAATGTAATCCATATTTCCTAGACTAATTCCAACAATTTTATGGTAATGAACTAATACAAAAAAAGATGTGAAAAGCAAGTCTTCTATTTGACAATAGAAGGTTTTCACACTTGAAGATAATTGCATTTGAAAAAAGACAGCCTGCATCCCCAACTGTTCCCTCACTGTACCTTCCCCTCCCCAGGGGAACTCCATGCGAGAAGAGAGGTTCTCAGTGAGACGGAGCAATAGATTCCTCCTTATGACAACCTAGAGGAATCGGCTCCACCCTTACCTGCCACTTAATTGGGATGGGAAAAGAAGTTAAACATTTACAGAATAGGTAGAGCCAGTGTTAACAGGCTTGAGGAAAATGAAATTAAATCATTAAGCAGAATCTTGAGGACATAGGAATTGACTGGGAAATAATTGACTTAGGTCTTGAATTTAAAGACAATTCCTGCACAGGTTCTATCCCAGTCACTAAACCAGTGTCATTCAGACTTCATTTTCTTAAATCAAAACTCTTTTTACTGTGTCACAAAACAGAAGACCTATGTATCCATATTTATGGGTTCAGGGACACTGCAAATATTTTAACTCTATTTCATATATTCAGACACTTCTGGATATATCTGGATCAGGAACATAAGGCAAACCAGAACGACAGATACAGATATTTTTTAAAAAAAAATTAATAACAAAGTGCAAAGTAAATTACTAAACCCTAAATTCTTAGTCACATGCAAGAGGCTGAACCCCAAGTGAAAAAAGATCACCATAAAGTGATGTAGTATCTAAGTAGCTGACCTTTTTGCTTACACCTGATGGTGCTTATTTAGTTTTAATAAACCTTTTGCTATACTATAATTTAATGTCATCCTAAACCCTGTTAAGAGCTATAAGTAAATTTTACATAAGAATAAAGTATGTGTTATTTCCACCAGCACACTGGGTTTTCTCTACCACTTACCTGACTCGCCACTGCTGGCTGGTGGGAGGTCATCAAAAAGCAAAGGTCCCCCTGATCCTGAAACACAGCAGGACAGGCAGTGAGCTCACAAAACCTGGGGAAGGCGTGTCAGAATCCATCCCACCAGGATGCCTATGCAGGTCATTGAAATAAACTCAAAATTCTGTCAATCCAGTGGCAACTCACACTGTGGTAAATAATGTCTTGAACCTTATTTTATTTTAAAGTCCTATCATTGAAAGGAAACAAAAATCTGCCCTAAAGAGTTACATCTCAATTCAGCTATAAAGTACTCCAATGAACCAGAGAAGACTGCTCCAAGTTCACGCAGTTTCTCAGAGCCAGCAACTAGTGGATTTCTCTGCCTTACCTGATGCCATGGATTCAAAACTTAAGACAGTCCAACACCTAAAACATCTGTGTGTTGAAAATGGGGGAAAGGGAAAAAGATTGAGACAACTACAATCCCAGGATGACACGTTGACACACACCTGGGAGAGTCTGAAGACTGTACCTGAGTCAGTACTGCTGGCCGGAGGGAGGTCGTCAAAGAGCTGAGATCCTTTCTGGGCTTCTTTCCCTAGGACACGTAAACACCTGCTTAGACAGCGCGTGGTCGTCGCCAGGGTGGCTTTTCAAGGGGGAGACTTGGAGGTAGGTTTGCTATTAAATTTAAGTTTTTTCCTCATGTGGGAAAAAATTTATTCTTAAAATTATTTTCTCCATCACTATTTAATATGGACACTTGTTTCCAACATTATAATCAACAAAAAAAGCAATGAAATATGACCCAACAGGCAGGCATTTTTAAGGGCCATTGGGTATTTTGAGAAAAACAAGTATTTTTCTTGATTCAGTAATTTCATTATTGAAAGCAACAAACATTTAAAAATATATAAATAGCCTGAGTGGGTGTGGCTCAGTGGTTGAGCATCAACCTAGGATCCAGGAGATGGCGTTTTGATTCCCAGTCAGGGCACGTGCCCAGGTTGCAGGCTCGATCCCCAGTCAGGGGGTGCAGGAGGCAGCCAATCAATGGTTCTCTCATCATTGATGCTTCTCTCTCCCCCACTCCTTTCCTCTCTCTGAAACCAATACATATTTTAAAAAGTAAATAAATAAGTAAGCAAAAATATATAAATATATAAACATATACATATATTTTTAATGAATCCCAGGAAGAAAAAAACTGATTCTAGAGCAAGAAAATAATTTGGGGCCTCAAGATAAGAGCTTTAGCCATAGAGGGAATCCCCAAAGATCTAAAGGTCTTTAAAAATCAATAACATTCTGAATCAACTACCAAGTAAAATCTCAAACAAAGGAGCACAGAGATAAGAGGCTGAGGGAGCCCCATTTCTTAACTTGGCGTCCTCAGCACAGTACCCAATTCAATCCACATCCACATCCACATCCACATCCATGGAGATGAGGCATTTCAGATACTCCAAGACAAACTCAGGAGAGAACCAGGCAACATTTTTATCTAAAAATCTGAATGTTTACACAACAGAGCACTTGTCTTAAATGTTTTATATGCAATTATCCCTTTCCACACAAAATTTAACCACAATTCCTTCTTGTCTAGCTTTCCCCCAAGTCTCTATTCATGCTATGAAATACGTGAACCAGCACACACAGGGCTCAGGATGAAGTGCTCCCGTCCCATGAAGTCCACACATGACTCACCACGGGCTCAGCCCCTCTCTTGCTCCTCAGAGCTTAATCACAGGAACGTGCTCACTGAAAAACCAGGGCGTCTGTGCTGTCTTTTTGCTATTATGTAGAAATGAACTGGTACCAGTTCTACTCTTTTAAAAACAGAAATCTTAATTAAAATTTATAAACTCCGAGGAAGGAAATTTCTTCAGAAGTCTTTAGGTCAGAAGTACCATAAATATCCGAGAAATTCCTGGTTTAACAAAAAGTAACTCTTCTGCCTTATACCCCACCTCAACTGGGAACTGTCTCCTCATTAAAGCATATTCTGATCCCTCAGGATTACCCTTAACAAATTAAGTACTTGCAGATACTTTCACTTTTCTCACAGGCAGCATAAAGACTCCGGGAAATATTCACAGGCAGCATTAGGACATTAAAAGGCGTGCAGGATAACCATTGATTCACTGTATTAATCCTCCTACAAGAGCCCCAAATATTCTAGCAGACCACTCCCAAGGGCACTCCAAACTGTCCTGGGTCTACCCATCAAAATACCCCTCCTTCTAGCAGACTGGAAAGCGAATGGGATGATCCAGAGCAATCACACGCATTTCGGCGGGGCAGAGGGCCAGGCACTTTGGGAGAGGGGACAGTACAGGGAGGCCACCAACCTGAAGGACAGCCACCCCTTCCACCTGTGTCAGGTCAGATTTTGAGTTCCGAATTAAACTACCCAGCCACATCAGGCCTCTTCACTGCCAGTGTCCAGTGGGGGAGACCTCTTTACCAGGTAACACATTATCAGTCTTGTAAGCATTCCTCACAAGCTTCCAGCTTCAGAACTAGCCTGCTCCCTCCCTTTTGGCTACAACAGTCTAAGACAGAGATTTTCAACGGTGTGCTGCAAGAATTTTTAAAACATGCAATACCGGACTCCTTAGGGGCACTGACCTCTTTTCCCTTAGATTGTCAAATTAAAAAATGACAAGAGCCAACACAACAATAGCTGTCCGGTGTGAATGAATTGAAATTATACCTAGTTTTGGCTCAGATCAGCAAAAAAAATTTTGCTGTGCCACAGAATTTTAGCAATGTTTATGTACCATGAGATGAAAAAGGTTGAAAAATCACTGGACTAAGACAGTGCTCCAAACTGGGCACCAGCCCAGAGACGGCCTACCTCCTTCTGTTGACGGAACGAGCCTCTCCCTCCCCTCCGTCTTTCTCACTCTGGAATACTGAGTGGTATTTCAATTAAACACATGAGATTACCTTACATTTTTGTTGGCCACAACTGAGAATATCTTATAAAAACGATCATTAACATTTACTGCCTGTCAGGCACTGTTGTGGTGCTCTCCATGTTTTAATACATTTAATCCTTATAATACTCTTAGATACCTACTGATGAGGAAACTGAGGCACTTTAAGATAAATGACTGACCGAGAGAGCCAGTGGGGGGAAGGGGGCGCAAAGCCAGGAGCCCCGTTTCCCAGCCCACGCTCTTGGTAAGATGCTACACTGCCTCCACACAGGCACGGGTCCAGGGACTGTCCCAGGGACTGCTCTAAGGCTAAAGGATCATCTCGTTTACCCTTACAACCCCACAAGGATAATCCTGAGGCTACGTAAGGCAGCTGGAATACCTCTGCATCAATAAAAGGATCAAATTTAGTAATACCTTGCATCTGGATTCTTTAAAAAACCCACAGGTCATAGATGCTGTCAAGGGAACTTCTGAGTAGCCAGAACTTACATTATATTTTGGATAAATAGTAATTCAAAGTATTGGGGCTGCAATCATCGCACAAAGTATGGCCCTAATCCAAAACTTTGGAGGAGACCCCCCAAACGTAAATATAAGAACCACAAAGAATGAAATAAGACTGCAGACAATTTTTCATTAGTTAATCTCATCTAGGATTTTTTTTTTTAGTTATCTATATTCTGAAGCTAAGTCGACTGAAAGTTACATACTATGCTGAGAAAAATGCTCTTGGGTTGATGATATTCAGGTGAACTAAAGGTTACTACTTACAATAAGAAGAGTAGTTTGCTTAAATAGTTTTTTATACCCAAATTTTCTTTTCAACCACAAATGCAATACATGTTTTCCAAACGCCAGAGGTATCAGCAAAGGGCCTTACCTCTCCCCCACTCTCCAACCACAGCAACGGTGGAGTGCACACATCCCACTTTCCTTTATGCTCACGCACTTGTGGAGGCTGAACAACGGACAACCTGGACATCCTCATTCACAAGGTCACCAGAAGTCAGACCCAACTCAACAGCACGTAACACCCAACGCACGCACGTGTGTGTGCATTTTAATTTTTAAAAGGTGGAAGTATACTGTGCACAATATTCTACATGTCTCGTTGTTCATGTGAGCCATTGAGGCAAGTTCCAGACCAGCACGCCTGGGTCATTTATTCTTTCCGACAGCTGCACACTCATCTCTATGGGAAGCAGTGCCCGCCGTTTGTCCGATTCCCTTACTGAGGGGCACACAGGCTCTCTGGTCATACACAACAAACAATGCCACAACAAACCACCTCAGACACAGACACTTCACTGTTAGGCTGCTGAGTGAGGGTAAGAGTAGTTTAAATTTGACAGGTGCCAAAGCTGTTCCAGAAAATACTGTGTTAACTTCCACTCCCAACATACTTCACGAGAATGTCCATTCCTTGACATCCCCACCTCCATGTTGCCAATTCTTAAATTGACAGATGGAAACGTGGTACCTCCGTGATCTACTCCTTTCCTCGTGACTCAGGAAGCTAAGCCGTGGTCCGTTTCTGGGATACTTGCATTTCTTCTTCCATGACCTGACAGGACACAGCCTCTGGGATTTTTCTAATGGGTACCTGTCCTTTTCTTATTAATCTGTACGAGCCTTTCGCTTATTAGAGATAGTAACCTTTAGTAATATTTATTGCAATTATTTCCTCTCAATTTGTCTTTTGCCTATGATATATTGTTCTGCAGAACTTTTTTATTTTTACATAGTTAAATCCATTTTGATCTTTTATGATTAGAGTTTTTCTTGCTTAACCATGAAGTTTTACAATTAGTCTAAGTTATTTCTAATATCTTAAACGTTTTTTATATAAAAATGTTTAATTTTAACAGAAATAATTTGAAGATGGCCTGCCATGCAAATATTTATTTAGTCCTTGACAGCCGACAAAGTGTACTGGTATAACAACCTAGTAAGTGAAAGAACTACCCTATTAAGCTGAAACCAAGTTACTGCCAAAGCAACTTTAACCAGGACACCTTTACTTGTGTGGATTATCAAACACAAGCTGTCAATCTTAAAGACATCAAGTCAGCACCTCTAGGACTATGATATAGCTGAGTTCATGACTGTCAGATACGAGGGCAGGCTGTGGTCATATATGTAGTTAGTTTCACTGCGTGAGAGGTGGAAGCCCCTAACCCCTGTCCTGTTTCAACTGTGTGTTTGTGTGTAAACTTGATTCGGTAATCAAATCTGTAAGTGCTAGGATAAAAAATGCTAATTTAGCACAAAGTCTATTTGCAAGCACACCTTGCTTTACTGTGCTCGCCTTCACTGAACTTCACAGGTGTTACCTTTTTTACCAACTGAAGGCAAGACCCTACACCTGCAAAAGATTACTGACTCCCTTTATCTCGATGCTTTACTATATGGTCTGGATCTGAAACTGCAGTATCTCCAAGGTCCGCCTGTAACGTATTCTTTCTACATTTTTCTCCAAACCATAAAAAGTTAAGAGGCTTAGAGGCTGGAATATTAGATGTGATGTTTAAAACAAAAATCGAAGAACTAAACAAAATACTCTTGATGTACCTGAGTTCCTCCCTTTGGACACTTAGTGTTTTCACAAAATCCAGTTAAGAGAGCATTTTCCCCCTTAAAAAGCTGTTCAAGTTAACAGCTCACACACTAACCTCTACTGAGCACCTGCTGCACCCTGTGCTAAGCCCTGTATAGGTGGTGCTCTCCCAACTGACCGGTGCAGGAACAACCCCAGAAAGCAGTTAGGAAGAACAGAGTTGGGATGTGAAACTGGTTGGATTACACGTCCCAAACAACTCCTTTCCTGCTCAGAATTTGTGGCGCACGCACGCCGCGTGTGAGGGTCAGGACGGTGCCGCTCAGCTCCACCCTTCCATCCACTTTATGATGGCAACATTATTTTCCATTTTAAATTTTATCAGTCAATACCACAGGTTTTCTGAAACAAAGTGTGGTACCTGGTTGGTTTTAACTAACTGCCTGTCAAGAGAACT